AGAGCATTTGCTCTGCAAATCCTGCAAGCCGTAACCCTCTCAGACCAGAACTGCAGCTTCCAGAGGTGCAAGGGTGAGGCTACTGAGATGCTCTCGTGGGGAGATGTAGATGAGCTGCAGCTCCTGTCCTTGCTGGGGCAGTGTGGGGGAACGCCAAGGCCCACTCTGACCTCTTTTCTGGCCCCCTGGTGTCTCCAAAGAGGGCAGTGTTGTCTCCACAGCTCCAACCCCTTTGCCTAAAGTCAGCTCCCCAGAGCACTCAGCCCTGATGGACACCCTGTGTCCCTCACTATCTGGGTCATGTACAGATATACTGCACATGTGCCTCATGTGGTGGTGATTGTATGAGAAGCACCACAAATGGAGAGTCTTTGTTTGGTTCATTGTAGTGTCTCCATTGCCTAAAACAGCACCTGAAATATAGTCAGTGCCCAGCAAAAATATTTGATAAAGAATGAACTCTTCAAGAAGAAGGGCAAATGGGAAATGTGCAGATTGGGTGAAATATAGACTCACATATGAGTTTTTGAGCAAAAATAAGTCTCAGCTTATGCTGGTTGATCATCTCAGGTTCTACGACGGGGGAAGAGAAACAAAATATTGGAAATATTGGGGGCCCAGGTGGCACCCCTCCCTGTGGGCCCTCAATGAGTCACTCCTTCACTTTGCCTCAGCATCCTTCCCACAAAGCAGGTTTCCCTAGGGGGTCCTCAAGCTCAGACCTCCTGCTACCTTGTCACCAGTATTTTTTTTCATTGTGGGTCATAGATCATCCACTTTACCTGAAGGTTTTGCCATTTTAGTCTGAAACTGGAGAAGTCCAAACAGGTTTTGCGATAGTAAAGGTGAGCTTAATTTTTCATTCACCTCCCGCTAATAAGTGGTCCTCCTCTGCTTCAAGAAGCAAAAAGGAGAAGAAAGGGCTTCCTAGTGACAGGATAATTTATCAGAAAGTTATGAGTGAATACAAGCAGGGCTGTATAGGAAGTGTGCATTGAATGATATGACACACCGGCTTCTAATTGCTGCTGCCTTTCTGATCAATAATACATGTTTTCAAAAAGCCTTCTGTTTGCATTTACACAATGGACTGTAACTACTGCAAAGGATCCATTAAGACCTATTTTAAAAAGTGCATTCGTAAAAACTTGTCTAAATCTGCATTACAAGGCAGATTATGAAACTGCCTTGGGAAATGTTTTTTCTAAAAAGCATTCAGGCCATTATTTGCTGGACTTGCCAATCGGAGCTCCCCGATATCTGCACAGCTTGCTTGTGAGCCAAGCCTGGCCTTCTCCTTGGCCCAGATGATGCTAGAGGCAGGCATTGTCAGGCTTGAGGCCCCATCGAGCTCCAACTGCCTTGGGCCAGCAGTGCCCTCTGGCTGGGGGCTCAGGTGGACTCGGTGTGAGCAAAGCCCCAAGGAGCTAGGTGGGGCTCCCAAATGTGTAAATGACCCAGTCAGGTAAGTGTTGCTGCAGCAAAGAGGACTGTCAGGCTCCAGGGCTCTCTCTCCTTCCACTGAGTAGGCACAGTTCCTGTGGGGAGGGTGAGGGAGAGGTGTTGGCTCAGGCAGGCCAGTCTCAGTTTACCTGCCATCTCCATACAAGTGTGCATTGTTACCTATGCAGTTGGAGAGCCAGCCTAAGGGAAGCAGTCACTTGATTTTAGAGGCCACCTTCTTCCCATGATAACTTAGCAATGTCCACTGACCTCTGTGGCCTCTTGGCCTCAACTCCTACAGCTGATAAGAGTCAGTAGTAATAGCTCATACTGGCTGCCTGGGGATTCACTTGTCAGACACCTAGCAGGAGGGGACTCTGCTTTCCTACTTAAGCCCAGGACACTGGGAACATGCCAGGTCACACAGACAAGAGACATGCCAAGACACAGCTCAGAGCTCACCTATAGCCTTGACACACACCACTGCCTGGCCTCCCACTTGGATAGTTCCTTGGACTTCAGAGGACCCTGGAAGAAGACTGAAGAAAACATCTACTTTCTGCTGGGCCAAGAACTGTTAATGCTTCATTTGGGTACAGCCTCAAATGAAGGCAGTTACTGCATGACATTTCCATGTTACAGATGAGGAAACTGAGGCCCAGTGATGTAGTTAGCCTGGTTCTTGGGCTGGGTGAAAGAAATGAGCTGAGATTCCTCCAAGAGAAGGGGGGAGAGGATGAGGAGAAGAAAAAGAAGGGGAGAAGAGCAGAGCAGGGGAAGGAGGGCTCATGAAAAGGGTGAGTGGGGGCAAAAAGTTGAGGTCAGGCCTTCTAGGTGGAGGTGGGCCTTGTCTGAGCCTAACAGGGTCTCTGACAATATATAGGACCCACTTCCTTGTGCTCATGAGGCCTGGGCTCAGTCCTCAGCCACCCAGCTCTTTGTAAGGCCTAAGAAGGGTCCTCTCACTGACCAGGCTGAGGCCCTGTCTGCAAACACCAGATGTGGGCAAGAGGCAGACAGGCAAGGCCTCCACAGAGTCAGAGGAAAAATGTCCCTGGGTCATATCCTGAGAGTCCAAGCCTGGCATGTTGTGAGTGTGTTATGAGGACAGCATATTTGAAATGGGGGTGGATGGATGGGAAGCCCCATTGTGGGCCCTCAGAGCTGGCTGGTGGGCACTGGCTCTCCTTGCAGCTGCACCTAGAGGCATGCACACAGATCTGCCTGCACCTCAGCACTCACTGGGGTAGCAGAGCAACAGTAGGTACTATCATTACCTCTGCTTACAGAGGGGAAACTAAGGTATCAGCAGTTAGCTACAGCACAGTCAGCATCAAAGTCTATGCTTTCAGTCTATGCTTCACACTACTTGAAGGAGGGATTGAAACCCCTTCCCACAACCACTCTGACCATATCTGGCCCCAGGCAGGGGCCTGCCTGAGAGGCCTAAGTCAGCAGTTCCTAGAATAATGTCTGGCCTTCCAGTGCCTCCAGGACTGGGTTATGCTCCTGGCTTCATTTCCTCATACCTATAAAGTCCCCAGGGTGAGGGTTTCCTGTCCTTGCACTCAGCCTCCACTCCTAAAGGCAGGCCTTCAACCTGACTTCCCATAGCCGCCTGGGTCCATGGTCACAGAGCATCCTGCCCTGCCTCCTACCCCTACCAGCAGCTCCTCCCCACCTAGGCAAGCCTGCACTAGATGGTATCCCTGTCTGTGCTGGGCTTGACCTTCACCCTCATTACCTGAGCTTTGTTTTGGGGCCAGACCCAAGGGGCTCCAGATAGGCCTCACCTGCTCTGACACAACGAATGCTGCAAGGATAACCTGTGAGCTGCCTGCCCACGGAAAACCTTGCCCACAAAAAATATGCATGCACATATATGTACAGTGGTACACATATGAGGCCCTCAGACACTGATCTCAGAGGAGGGCATTGCCCCCACCACAGAGTCACGTGTTCACTCAAGACCCACAGGATGGAGGTGGAAAGAGGATAGAAGGTGGAAGGAGGCCCAGGCAGGAGCACAGCCTCAGATGGGAAACACAGAGCCAGCCAGACATCCAGCCTGTCCAGTGTTAACCAAGGCCTAATGAGACTGGTCCCTGGGAGGGGGACTGGTTGGTGGAATGGACCAAACCACCTCTCTTCCTTCTACATTCTCCTGTTTTGTAACAAAGAAGTCCCCCTCAGTCCCTCCTTTCCTATGCAGGTTTCTTCCCTGGACATAGCCCTTGTGTGCTGTCTTGGTAACTATTAGCACCAGAAGTAGAGCCTGTCCCAAAGGAACCCCCTGTGGCCAACTCCATCCCCATAAATCGGAGAGTCTGGGGCCCTAGGCATGTGTGGCAAGTAACACAAGGTTTGATGGTGGAAGGGCAGCTCTTCTGAGCTGGCAACGCTGTGCTCTGGCCTCCTGCCAGCAGGCCCACTCTGGACATCTCAGCTGGCAGAGCCCCCAGCCAGCCTCTGTCTTGGCAGCTACTCCTGCCTGCAAGGGTGACTTCACTTTGACTTCATATCTGCAGAGTGATGTGCAGCCCTGAGCTCAGCCAGGCAAGAGGGTGGGGCTCTGTGCACTGCAAGAAGAGGAGACCCTGAAGTAGGGTTCCCCCAGGCCTCAGTACTCTGAATCCTCACACCCCAAGGCTTCCATTCCTCTGGCCCAGGTAGAGTCCAGACTTAAAAATGCAGCTAGGGGCTGGGAGATCAGTGGATTTTCCCCCACAGAGGCCTAGAACTCACCTGCAGTCTTACTCCAGGACCCTCATGTTAGGGGACCCAAGTTTCCCTTTTAGGATTGTGTATTCTTGGGCATCCTTTCTTTGGGCGAAAAATTTGGGGGGCTCTATTCCCTCCCTGCTACTTACTCTCCTACTTAGTCTCACATCCAAAGACCTCTTATTTTTTTGTGGGATTTTGTTTGGGGGGCTTATCCGCCAAGCACCCCACTAGGCCACAAGTGCCAGGTCTCTCTGAAACTGGCCCTAGGTGACCCCTAACCTCTCCCCAAACGCGACCTCGAACGTTGTAAGCCAAGTGCCAGACTCGCCCCAGGAGTGCTCAGAAAACGCAGAAAGTGCTCCGGTTCCCCCACCCTTACCGCAGCCCTTCCCCTTCTCCTGCCTCGTGTTCCAAGAGGCCGCGCTCCCACTGCGTCTCCCGCTCTGAGAAATGGCGGAGGATGCGCTCAGCGCCAAGAGCCTGGAGGCGGGGCGCCCGCCTAGTCCCTACGTCCGCTTGGGCTCATCCCAGCCAGGCCGCCCAGACCCCACATCTCCGCGTGCTTTCAATGAGAGGTGGGTAAGGGCGAAGCGCTGGGACCGCGAACGGACGCACAGGCGGAGAAAGAGTGGCTGTGCACGCGGAGGGGCGCTCCTACTCTTGCCCCGCCTGGCCAACACCCGCACTCCGCGTCCAGCACTAGTCGGCTACCAGTGAGCGCCTCACTGGATGTGCACCAGGCGCCGCCCGGCCGGTACCCCAGCCCCGCCTCTACCGCACTCCGCCCGCATCCTGGCCCCGCCCGTCCCGTTCTCCTCACTGCCCCGCCCCGCCCCTGCCAGATCCTCCCGCGCAGCCCGCGCCCACCTCGCCTCAGTCCCGCGACCAGAGCCCGGCCCAAGCAGTGTAGAGCGCCCCGGAGTCGCGCTCCGACGCTCCGTGTCCGCAGTGTCCTCCGTGTCCGCCGCGTCCTGGACGGGATGGGGCGGCCCGGCTGAGCGCCACACCCCGCCGCCTACATTCCCTGACCGAGCCACTATCCCTCTTGCCTCGGCCCCGGCGCGCACGGGCGATGGCGAAGGCGACGGCCAGCACCGCGGGGCTGCGATGGCTCCTGCTGCTGCCGCTGTTCGGCGAAGGTGAGTCCTGCCGGTGGCGGGTGCCTGCAGCGGCCGGGGCCAAGTTGTGCATTGTGCGCGGAGCAGCGGAGTGGACGCATTCGAAAACGCCTTTCTGTTTGCGGCCGGCAGCAGGCAGCGCATTTGCGGGCCTCAGGGGCCCGGCGGAGAGCGAGATGGTGCGGCGGGCAGGGCGCCGCAGGACCCAGGCTGGGCGGGTCTCGGGCTGGAGATGGACGCGGGCCGGGCTGGGCTGCCGGAGTCCGTACCCAGGGTCCGATCTTGGAGTTAGGCAGACAGATCTTGTCACCGTTTCGTCGCAGGTAGTGGAGGACAGGTGAGGTAGCCCTAGAAAGCCAGCGACCTGCGCAGGGAGTTCTGTTTCTGCCGAAGATTGCTGCGTCCTGGTTTTCTTTCCGCGCTCCACGTCGATGCATTCCTCCTCCCGCTCTGATTCTTTTACCTGCCGAGGGATTCGAAGAGGATCTGCTTTTACGAAAGGTTGCTTTTACTTCGTGCTTTTTTTTGCCATCCAGGCCTTTTCAAAAAATCTAAAAGCCTGTGGTTTCTGGGAAGGCTGCCCTCGATGGCCCGCTCAGACTAGCCTAGCGCAGCCAGCGGAGGGCCCGCCATGGTCGAGCCCTACCAGGCCGCTTTAGAGTCGCGCGCCGCTGCCAGGCAGAGGCACCTGAAGATGCAGCCTTTGGGACCACTTGAGGTTCTGGGCCTTTACCAAGGGTTTTGATTATCTCGGAGTGGGCTGTAGGGCAGTGTGCCACCAGTGTCGGTGCTGGAAGCATTAGGTATGCCCTTCCAAAGGCTGGTCACTGCCTTCACCCCCATACCCTGACAAGATGAACGGCAAGGCTGTAGAATCTTAGACCCCCTTGGCCTCATGTTTTAGTTTTCCTCAAACTGTCCCTGACTGATCCCCTCCTGCAGTACTTCTGAAAAGGAAGGAGCTCTGATCACCCTCCCCCACTGCTTACAAAGGGCTTTCTCTCCCTGTGATCTTTGGTAACAGAAGAGGAGGTAGCACAGGTCCTGCACAGACTCGGTTCATAGGCCTGTCCAAGGCTTCATTTGTTTGACTGGATCCCAGTCTCAAGGAGCAGATACTGAAGCCACAGTGGTCTTCAGTCCGTCATAGGGAGGGCAGGAGAGAAGCCCTTTCTTCACTCTGGGGAAGAATGTGGGAAGGGAGTCTGCTTCTAGTATTGGGACCCTGGGGTCACAGTGCTGCAGGAGAAAGACGAGCAGGAGGCTGTAAACACAGGCAGGGCATATGTAAATACAAACAGGGTGTTGTAAAGATCTCTTGTAACTCTTGGGTTGCAACTTTGTAATTGTGGACTTGTGGTCAGGTGTGAGCCAGAAGCAGTGTAGGCAGGCAGCCTCCAAAGCCTGCAGAAGTTTTCTCTGTGCCCTTCCACAGCCTTGTGCTTAGCTGGTGTGACCAGTGAGGCTGCAGGGGGCTGGGCTGCAAGAATCGGCCTGTGGCACTTGGCAGGAATAGGTGGCTTTTCTACACCCCTTCCCATGGAGTTGGTTAGCAGAAGACAGGCTCCCCAATCTACAGAAAGTGAGCCCCACATACCGCCCACCCTTCCCTTAGAATGACCAAGAAACTACAATTGGTGGCCCTGAGAGTGGAGAGGTGGCCCTGCAGCACCCAAGAGGAGACATATGGGGCCTTCAGAGAGGCCT